ACCGAGACACCCTGTTGCTGTTTATGTTATAAAAAGTACCTTATAGATACGAACAGGTTTGGCCCTTTTAGAAAGGCAGTGAAATGGCAGGGAAAACATCATGATTCCATTTGGCCAACGATAAAATGAGGTTCACAGAGCTTCAACTATCCGCCCAAAGTACAACGGCCCAAACCAGCAGGGCATGGCATGGCAATATTCTTTACCCGCTCCACTCCACAGCTCTTCTCCTGCCAGGCTTCCAGAAGCCATGACCTCCATTAGCCATTTGCAGGGGCATCTGGTTTTTCTAAAAAATAATTACTTACCCTGATGATCAAAATAACAAGTGATCATTGCAGAAAATTTCAAAATATAGAAGAATATAAGAAAACAACAACTGCCCTACTCTGGAATTCAGCCATCCAGAAGTAACACTTCATTTTCTCTGATGTGCTTATGTGTGTGTGTGCATGTGTGAGTTCCATATGTATATTTATGATGTGTTCTTGGCATTTTGCACATATTAACTCATCAATGCTATGCGGTGGGTACTATTGTCATTCCTATTTAATAAATTAAAAAAAAATCAAGGCTTGGAAAGTCTGCGTAGCTTTCCCAAGGCTATGTGAGTAGGTCTGTCTTCATCTAAGGTGATTAAAATCTGTCTGTGGACTTTGGACCTAAGCCCACACCTGCTCCACTTGAAACTTTGAAGGTAAGAACCAAGTGGGATGTCATTTTCTCCAGGTTTCACTACGGATGAGCTAAATGGTCTTTACAACTTCTACAAAGATGCGTTCACCCCTGCCCTTGAGGATTAAATAAAGTCGTATGTTTCTGGGCAAAACTCCCGTAATTGGGCTCTGCTTCAGCCCCAGGGTGAGGGCCGTGCCAGGAGAAGCTAATGATAAGCTATGTTATGTCGATGAGGATGAATGGACAAGGGTGAAGGGTCTTCTGAAGGTCAGATGGATACATAGACTAGAGATTCCCAAATTAGGGCTAGAAATCAATGGGGACTTTTGGAACCTTGTTGTGTTCCTCAAACCACTGTACTTGGCAGTCTTTGGCGGAGGTATTTCACCATATTTGCAATCTTTCACTCCCAGGCACACCTGATGGAGACTTTATTAAAATATGACTCTGACTCAGTCGATCTGAGGAAGAGGCTGAGTCGCTGAGTTTCTACTAACTGCCAGGTGGGGCAGACACTGATGGCTCCAGATACTCCTTTGGGAAGTGAGTCTAGATCAGCTCCTCTCAGAATAGTAGAAATATCATTGATCTATGGAAGTTGCAATGGTTTGAAACTTTATTTTAATTTATTTAGTTATTTTTGCCACGAATCTCTTTCTTTAAATGAAATCTCAAGTGGTCCAGGGGATCTTTGAAAAGTTTGGAAAATGCATATTATGAAAAAACTGATAGATTTCAATGAATATTTTTGGCGTCAAAGTACACTCATACTTTAGTTCTGTTTTTCATGTACTTTTTGATGTTCCCTTGTACTTGGGTTTAAAGATGAGTTATGTGCTTGGAGGCTTGCCTGGTATCTGGGTTTGCATAGCAAGAATCCTGTTTCTAATTAGCTTATATGTTTATTTGTGGTGGCTTGATGGGAGATTGTTGAAGTTTTAGAGAGGATAGGGTAAAGGCCCACCCCGTCCTTTGGTCACTGCTTCATGAGAGCTCAAGACAGAAAGAACAGTTGCTCTGTTGGAAGAAAAACTGGGGCCCTGAGACCTGCCTGCCTCTCATTTCCCACCTGTGAAAGTGGCCTCTGGAGTATCCCACGGAAGGAGGTGCTGGCACAGGGACCTGCTGTCCGCTGCCTGCTGCCTCAGCCGGGCCAGCCGGGCTCTACCACACACTGTCAGGGTGACCTTGGTTAAGTGATGTAAACCGTCAGGAAAATCTAGAGAAGGTTCAAAAAGAGAAAGCATCTAAAACACTCAGCAGAGTGGCCGGCCCATAGCGAAGCCTCAGCCCCGCTCAGCTGTACCACTGTCATTAGGAGCCTTGTTAATGCTGCTGACAGTTCGAGGTCTCTGTGAGTCTCAGTTTGAAAACTTTCAGTGTAGAAGTGAAATAACAAGATTCTTAGTCAAAACTCGGGCTCAGCTTCTGATGGCTTTGCACGGCAGCTCACGTAAACTGTCGAGGAACGAGCTCTCTCATGATAGCATGAGAGGGTAACGGCTACCCTTCCCCCAGAGTTCTTAAAGGGTTCAATGAGGTCACATTGGTGTAAAGTTTCACGAGAGAAGCTGCATCCTCCTACCCAGTTGTGACTTTCTATATGAAGGAGCCCTTGAGGATTCAACACTTTTTCTGAAATGTAAAAAGTTTAATCGGTGCCCAATTTATGCATCATTTGATGAGTTTGTGTGCAGTGATTCAGATCCTTTACCCAGAATGACTGAGGCACTTCGGGAGTGATAAAAGGTAACCTGGCATCTTAAGGAGTGATTCTGTCCCCTCCATGTGAGGAAAGCCTTGAGATACGCGTACGCTCGGGAGGGTCCTGGGTAGGGCAGCCTCTCTGTGTGACGGACTCGGCTGTCTTTCATTGCCTGGGGCCTCAGGTGTCCCCCGGCTGGCTGCCTCATGAAGAGTTGCTCAGACACTGAAGAAAAGATCTTCCCTTCTACTCTTTGGCCTTGAATTTTCTCCCACCCATACGTTTTGTCATGTTAATATTGTCTTCTCCTTAATTTTTCCCCCCAAGATTCTTCCATCTTTTAAAGGAGAAAATGTTTCAACTACAGAAAATCTGAAGTGAGGAGGCAGGTTTGGTTTGTCACAACTTGGTGGAGAGCAGAAAATCGGAGGAGCTAGAGAATGCAGAACTACGGACCTATGAATTCCAGAAAAATGGAGCCACTCCTAGGCAACAGTGTCACTGTCATCGCCAGACATTTCTCAACATAGCTCATGGAATGAGGTGTTTTACACAGCAAGTGCAAGACAAATAGGCCTTTGGTGTTTTGAAGAGTGGTTTTAAACTAAAGCGGCTAAATCTCTCTCTTCAACACAACCTCAGGGATAAGCCTGGGATTATAAACTAATCAGAGACACTTGCTCTGGCAGAAGTTGAGGGGAAAGTGGGGGAGGGAAAAGGATGCTGGAGGCCCCATGGCTGTCCCTGAGATGACCTCAGTGTCCCCAGTGTTTCAATAAGATCACATCCATGCCCACTGAGCTGCAGGCTACGCAGATGGAGAAGACAGGAGTAAGCGGTTACGTATGAGACCTCTGCACGTGAGTGGTTTCTATAGTCTGCCTGGTCCTGAGGTTGTTCTTGCTCTAAACTTGTGGTCCCTTCTCCCAGTCCAACTGGCCTGCAGGCAGCCCTGAGTCTCTTTCAAGACAACCCCTCTGCCCTTGTTCCATCCGGACCTGCATTTCTGCAGCTTATTTTCATTCCTCAAGTCCTCTCTGCTATATCGTAGCATGGACTGGGTAGGCTCATCTCTGAAAGACATTCCTTGGAATTTTATCCCTAGTTTCTGATTCAATAAATTCCTCCCATCCTCATCCTCAGTTCTGTTAAGGCAACCGGTCGGACATGCATGGAGAGAACATTAAGAGATACCATGCTATAAGATTGACCCAAATTCTGAGCCTTACAGAGTCCCAGCATTTGCAGGAAGGCGTGAGAAGGTATTGGAGTTGCTCCCTGACATCCCAGGGAAATGGTCTTCCAGCCTCAGTCTGAAGCTTCACTGATGGCAGCTCCCCCCTCAGGCAGCCACCGGTGCAGGCTGTTCCGAGGCTACACGATGCCCCTTTGTCTCGACTCTCAAAGTTCACTTCACAACCAACCTTTTAGTGACTTAATCTCTCCTAGCCTCACTCTCTTCACTTGTCACCTGGTGCTGGAGCACTCAGTTAATCAGCGCACCAACTGGAGCCCAGACCCACAGCTCAAACTCTGTCAGTGCCAGTCATTGGAGCCTCCCTCAGAGGAAGCGTAGGGTTGTGGTCAGGCCTTTGCCCTCTGCCCAGCTCCGCCCGCATGGCTTGCTTGGCTGCTGCTGCTCACCCATTCTTGGACACTCCGCACACCTATGTGTGGGCCCGCGCAGCGTCCTCCCACAGATGCCCCCAAACACCCTCCTTTCAGCCCTCCCACCCATTCCATGCCCCTTCCCAGAAAACTCTGACTTTGGGAAACACACTGGACCTTCCACAGCCTCCATGCATGTTCTCTGAAGTCGGAGAAAGCACTTTTCTTGAGGGTCTTCAGGAATGTTAGAGAGACAAGCCCTCTGAGTCGCACACGGGATAGCGCACGTTCTAGGACGTTACCACGCTCTTGTTCAAATAGGTTTTCTGCTTCATCTTCACAGAGGCTGGGAGGTGAGTGTCATTCCTTTAGAGATGCAAATATTCACTTTGGAGAGGAGTGACAGAACCAGGGCCACACAGTTACTAAAGGGCTGAGTTCAAACTGGAATCTAAGACTTCAAAATTCTGATCCCAAGTGTTATCTCACTGTAAATTTGCAAA